GCGGGGGGGGTGTCAGAACAAAAGCAGAAAACCTCAAATGCATTAACTTAACTGTATTTACTAAGGAGCTACTAGGTGTCAGGCACTGTTCCACTTTGTGTCAGATGACCAGGTAGGGCCTGTTGGAGATTAACACTTAAAGTGGAACGAATTGGGTCACATTAGGAAATCATAGTGTTAAAACCACAGTAGGGTTTACGCCCATTAAATGGTGAGAGTAACCAAAATACACACTTGGCATTTTATTTTTCAGGCCTCACTTTCACTGTAGCAAGTATCCAGAATAAAATGTTCCCTGTCTGTAACTGCTTAGGTCATCACCTGGGACGTATAACTTGGTCAGTGTTTCAGTACTTATTAGAACCAGGGAGGATTTCTCTTCCTTGAGAAATTCTTGCCATATTTAATGAGGCTTCTACCAAATGAAATTCCAGTGAAAACCCTTCAATCAGTAAAGAAAACATTCAGCTTTAAATTTTAGCAGTATTTTTGCCTCACAAATACTTAGTGAAAAGCCTCAAAGATGTTTCTGAAATTTGAGTTCTACACATTGAGGGAGGTGTTTCTCTATTCCATTTAATTTATCCACAGCAACCTGTACTGGACAGACTGGAATCGAGAAGCTCCTAAAATTGAAATGTCATCTTTAGATGGAGAAAACAGAAGAATTCTGGTGAATAAAGACATTGGACTACCCAATGGTTTAACCTTTAACCCCCTGTCGAAATTGCTCTGCTGGGCAGATGCAGGTAATGCTACTGATGGAATGCAAATACAGAATGCTTCATTACAGTTGGGGCGGCACTCAAACATATTTGACAACATAGCCAAATCCCGTCTTTTAGATCTCCTGGCTTAAATTTCTAACAGTACAGCACATGCAATCTATTCCTTTGGTGTATAAACTTTTAAAGAATACTTTGTAATGATGCTTATAATGAATTTCCTAGGGCTTTAGGGCCTGAATGTGCATTAGGCAGTTAAGTTCCAGGACTAGAGCAACGCCAACTCATTTTTGTATTGGGTGCTACTCCCCCACATGAGCACTTGGCATCCTTTTTAAGTTAAAAAGAAATATTACCCACTGTTGGAATTGATGGACTTACGTAAATGAACAAGAGGTTACTGGCAGTTTTTGCTTTGGCCAGTGTTATAAATTTGTAAGTTATCTGCTTAACAGTCAGCATGCTGTTATGCTGAGGACATTCTTTGAAAAGTGATGGGCAGCATGGCTTCCTTCAGTAGTAAGTTTGGGTTGCTGATACCCAGGCTAACTTTTTCAGTTGTGTGATTTCATTATTGGCACAACTGAAAAGATGCTGTATGTCTAGTTATATACTACGGAATATGAAAAAAGCCGTTCTTAAAAAAGGGACTATGATACACATGGGGCCAGTTGTCCAAACAACTTGCATTTTTAAAAAGTATTTGAAATTTAAATCCAGTTCCATAAGAAATGTGAAACTGGGAGACTTTTAACTTGTTTAGCCATTGCAAAATTTTCATGATTGGCTTCCTTTACATTGAAAAGCATGAGCCATGTTGCCACGTTAGTTTTTTTTTATTCCTCCCTAGAAACCAATAGTCTTTAAAAAAAAAAATCGAAAGGACTTTAGTTAAAAGGCAGCCTTGGCTATTATACATTACTTACTAAGGGCAAATATTTATCCAAATGTTATGTTTACAATTTATGAGCTAACACTTATAAAGATGTATTTTTTTTAAAAAAAAAAGCTTATCTCTAATGCCCTACTTTGGGAGAAACTTGGCCAGACTTCTGTAAATGCATGCAATCCTTTCTTCCAAAAAAGGATTAAGAGTTTAAACTCTATTAAAAACTAAGATGCTATTAAACAAACTAACGACTAGTAGTAGAACAGAAAATTTTAGTTTTTAATTTGTATCACTGCAATGGGAATCTCTATTTCTTATTCTTCCTTTAAGACAGAATCTACCTGCCACTTTTATTTTTGGCAAGGGGCTTTTCCCCACCCATGGTATGAAAGTATCTCATTTTCCCTCTTTGATGTTTTCAAAGGAACGAAAAAACTGGAGTGTACACTACCTGATGGAACTGGACGGCATGTTATTCAAAACAACCTCAACTACCCCTTCAGCATTGTTAGCTACGCAAATCACTTCTACCACACAGACTGGAGGAGGTGAGCCTGACAGTCTGGCCAAGCCTGAAAAGGCAAACTGTTCTGGAGGACTCACTGCTTGTTTGACTAAATGTCAATTAGCGACTTTAGTAATTAAGCCCTCTACTGAAGTTTTCATTTTGTTATCTCTTCATTAGTAGGTAACATCATTCAAATATTACCCAGAAATTTAAAGGTATTGCTCACATGTAGCTTAAAAGTAGCAGAGCTATTAGGTAATAAACTATCCAAAAAGGAAGCGCTTTAATCTAAATCTGATCTTCAGAGAGTAAGACTAGCTTAAGTGGCACCATGAGGTATATTAGTTACATGATTTAAATTGATTTTTTAAAAAGACATTGTGGACTTATTGTCTACCAGTTCTTCATGGAGAAACCGGGGAACATAAAAAAATATATAAGGGTTGGCAAAAGTAGGTTTACAGTTGTTGTGGAAAAAGACATGCAGGTTATGATGATCACAATAGCTTTAACTCAAAAGAATGTCACAATGGCACAGTAGACCTACTTTTGCCCACCCCTGTATAGAGTCTGAACCCTTCTACCCTATCTCCTATAATTTTGATTTAATTAATCTGGTAAGAGGCCAACTGTATTTTAACAGATCCTCGTGATTCCAGCATCCAGCTAGGATTGAGGACCACTGACTGAGAACCAGAGTCATCCTGAGGGCTTAAAACGTATTACTGTGTTCTATTTCCCAGAATTTCTGATTCAGTAGGTTGGAAGAGGGGCCCAAGAATTCACATTCCTACCAAGTTCCCAGATGGTGTTGGTCTGAAGACCTCTTTGGGAACCACTGATATAGACAAACCTGAATCTAAATAAGTCAAAACTCATTTTGTTATATTAATTTTAAAAATGTATTCTAGAAGGCTGCAGAGATTTTTCTCTATTGAAATTGACTTTTTCTATCCAACCTTAAATCTCATGACTTCACTCTTCCTTCCTGTTAACAGGGATGGTGTAATATCAGTCAATAAAGACAGCGGCCAGTTTACTGATGAGTATCTCCCAGACCAGCGATCTCATCTCTACGGGATAACTGCAGTCTACCCGTACTGCCCAGCAGGTAAACCAACACGCTCAGGCTGCTCCTTCGGATCAGCAGGGGAGAGGACAGGTCTGGTATCTCATTACCCTTGGCCCAGACACTGGCTGTTGATAGTAACATTGCCACCAGTGAGAGCCACTTTGAGCTAGAAAAGTTAATGGCCAACATATGGGGGTAACCAGTTTACTACCTTAAGTCTACCTAGCTAAACTGTACACAAAAAAGGTAAGCCTATTGGGATATTTCCCCTTTAAAAGACTTGCTGTTGCAACTCAGTTATAAAATACTCACACACTGTCCCCTCCCACACTTCCCCTTACAGGAAGAAAGTAAATAATAGCATCGTAAAGGACTTGAGTTTACAATCAGAATCTGGACCCTAAAGAACATTTACTGCAAAGGCGAAGAAAGTGAAAAAGGAATTGGCCATTAGAAGTTTCTGAGCATACAAAATGGACATTTTCAGTGCAAAAAGACTAAGTATATTTTGTGAAAAGTTTATACCTCAATCTTTACTACTGTATTTTTTAAAACAAAAGTTATTGCAAGTTTAAAAGAGGTAATAGAATTTTAATTGTTGATTAAAGCAACTTTTTATAAACATTTATATCATATTTCAAAGGTCAAATTCATTCACCTAAGAACCAATTAGAAATATGTTAAGATCCTAAATCTGATTTCTACTATGAGTTCTTTTTGGCCAAGAAATTAAAGCACATATGACCAGTATAAAAATAAATCCTAAAGATCATAAACCCTGACATAGAGAAGGCTATGCAGAACTGATGGGAAACAGCCAACTTATTTATAGTTTCCGAAAAAAAGTTCTAAGTTTTTTTTACCTCTGCATTTCTATTTATATTAAAAGGTGCTAGAATGTTTCAGTTTGTATTTTCTGATCCTGTAAGTCCATCTATAGAATAACCCACAGAAATTACATTTATAAATACCAAAGATGTAACAGTTCTCAAATTTTCTAGATTACTCCAATAAAATATTTTAAGTTTTCCTATGACTTTTGAGGATTTGTATTATTTTTATAACAAAGTTGGGGGTTGGCATGTACCTTAATCACAAAGGAAGCAGATTATACATAAACATAACACATAGTCAAAAAATCTACTTTCCCAAACTTTATTAAAGAAAAAGCAATGATGGTAAATCTCTAAAACATAGTCAATTTTCTGGGATTCTTCCCTTGAAAATGTGATGTTTGATTTCGAAACACATAGCAGGACGTGCATGGTTCCCAACTGTACTAAGTAGGTGAGAGGCCAAAATCCTAAAATGTTCATCTTCCAACTTTCCCCAGTCTGTGGTCTGTCTTTGGATCAGCAATAATTGCCTGAACAGCTACTATGGCTTCATTAATTTTTGTCTGTAGCTCTCTGAGCTCTTCTATATGCAGCAATCGCAGAATTTGAGCAGCTTCATTAAGAACTGCATCTATGTGTAAGAAACACAGTATTAGTCAGTAACTTTTGTAGTTAAGACCATTTACTCACTCATTTCTCCCAAATGTTCACCAAGTCTCTAAAAGTAGTTTGAATTAATCAAAACAAAATCACTTACCTCCTGTGTCAAAACCAAGAATATGCTTGTCTAAAGCAACAGGCAATCCCTTTAAAAAACAAAACAAAATGAGACTATAGTTAAATATCACCTTTTCTCATATAAAGCTGAAAAGCAGCTAGCTATTTTGTTATTTTAATCCTTTTAGTCACAGTAGCAAAGGAAATGAGAATTCTCTAAATTTGCATTTTGATGATTTTTCCTACTATCCCCAGTTAGGAAAGAGTGGCCTTTAAATGTAGTGGGAGGCTAGTTCCATAATCCATCCAATCCTTTAAAACCAGGCCTAGAAAATAGCTCCTTTTTGCTATAGTATGCCTCACTACTGCAGGGCTGCTATTGTTCCATTTTACCTGCAGTAAGCAGCAGTATACAAGGCAAATGGAACAGGACTACTTTTAACATTACTTTTCTCAAGCAGGTTTATTTATGAGCCATTAATTTGTCTTTGCAAAGCACAAAATTCTAAAGTATAGTTTTTCAGCCAACATTTTTATCAACTTATCTATATATATTTTAACTTTCAATAGTTCATTTTGAAGTTACTTTGAAATAGGGTAAAAAATGAATAAAATCTAAACCATTTAGCTAACTAGCCAGCACCTATATACCTAGACATACCACAGGTATATGATGATGCCAAACTATATGGAGTTCACAAAACTATCAAATAAAAACACGGACAGGCAGTCTAGACTTTTTGCTGATTATACTGAATAAAATCATTAACAGTAAAAAAAAGTCACTATACTTTCAGTGCTACAAATGCTAAGCTGTCACTACTCAATTCTTGCCTAATCTACTAATGAAAATCTACCAGGCCCCATCTGCTTCAAAATAGCTAATAATAAACACAGTATATAAGTGTAGAAAGAAATGGGCATGAAAATTCAGTGAGGAAAACTAAAGACTAGAATTGTACTGAGTGGCTTTCCTATGCTAAGCTGGTACCAGAGTCTCTGTTTTTCCTTTGTCTGCCAAAAGACCAAGAACATCTATGGTTGAAGATGACTACATGCCAGTTATGAATGGTTACAAATGAGAACATAACTATAAAACTTCTCTACTGTATTATTACAGCATGGTATCTTTTGAGATGACATTAATACTAAGATTTATTTGGAGTACTGAAAATAAAACTAAATTTTACTTTGCAAACAAATAGCAGTGATTTGGTTATGCCCTTATTTGCAATGCCTTCCAAACCATAGCTTTACTGAATTATACCAGAACAATTTACTGTCTGTTCTATAGTGTGGGAGAAATAAGCTGATCTTTAACCCAATTTCCAGTGGCTGGATTCACACATAAGCCTATGTGAACCTTTAAGAGAAACTGAGTGTCTTTCAGAAGGGAGTATACTTACCTGGCATTAATAAGCTTTTAACACTACTGGGCTTTGCTACATATAGGGTCAAAAGACAAATGACCTTGGGGAATTGGGGAGGCAAAAAAAGGACTAGGGTCCAGGGTGGTGGCTGCACCAAAGGCATTCACAGCAACCTCTGTACAGTAGGAAGGGGTATTCTCAGACACCCACAGCTGGTGCTGCTAACCCGTGAGGACATTCTCGGTATGTCCCATAGTCAATGAGACTTTAGGGACACTTAGATTTCCGGTACAATTTATCTAAAAACATCCCAGAATTATTAGTTATGGTGTAGTTTTCTCCTTCTACAAAGATGAGTTTCAGTCATCTGTACCCTGAACCTTACACTCTAATAGCCCCTTTATCTGCCCTTCACCTAGGATGTTAGGATGTCAACTAGCTCATGTTAACTACCACCCACCATAAAGAGCACAGGCTGTTGAATCAGATGGCCTGAACTCAACCACGTATCAACTAGGTGACCTTATGCAAGTTACTTATGTTTTATACTAGGAAATACAATAGATAAAATAAGAAGAGATTTCTTTGAAGAAATGGGAGAGAGTAGGATTTAGGTCAAAAGAAAATTATTAACGGAGAAAGTGTGTCCCATTTCCCAGCAATTCGTCAAAATAACCCAGTAAATCTCACAAGGGCACATTCTTTTAAATAAACTTCAACTAGGCACATTCAGTGGTTTATGCTGGTAGACAGGATGTGCCATTGGTAGCTTCTCTAGGTATGAAGGGAGATAAACATGAGTTCATTTTTCACTCAAAATGACTGGATACAATTTGCTTAGAAACCAAATTCAATCCCCTTGAAGTAAGCTACCCTTTCTCTGGGCAGTTCTAACATAGAATGGATATCTTACGCAGATACATGCAGAGTTTAAACCCATGACAATACCAGAAGTTGTTTTCATTAATGATTACTTTAGACTTTATTTTTAAAAAATACATACCTCTTTTGCTTGATTTGCTTTAGCAACTGCATCCTGTGTCAGGCGCTCCTGGACCAAAATGCGAATTGCCTAAGAAATCCCAAAATACTGTTTTTTAGTTTTTATTGGCTGTCATTTTTTCTTCTCTAAGTCTAGATAAGAAGGATGCTTAGTGTGATAAAGTTAGAATTACCTAGTTCATTAACAAACTTCCCATTAAAAAAGAAGAAAACCGCTACAGTAGTAAAAGTTCTCACATTTAATATTTAACAATGTGGAATGATGCTTAAAAGAATTTAAAACATTTTTTGAAGAGGTAATTCATGTGTGTGGTAAAAAAATATTTTAAATTAAGAAGGATATATGGTAAAAAGGTCTCCTCCCTTATCCAAGTCTCAGCCATCCCTCCAGAATNGTGTGTGGTAAAAAAATATTTTAAATTAAGAAGGATATATGGTAAAAAGGAGGTCTCCTCCCTTATCCAAGTCTCAGCCATCCCTCCAGAACACAATCATTGTTACCAGATCCTGTCTCTTTATCAGAACTCTTAGTAAACTACAAGCATACGCAGGCAAACATGTGCACACACATGCAATCTATGACACAAGGGTAGCACATCATACTGTCCTTGCTTTTTTCACTAATTTTTAATTATAGTAAAATGTTTTTAGGTCTTTCATAGAACACTGATTTTTTCCATCACCAAGGCATTTTATTATGGCAGACACAAGTGCATACATGCACCCGCACAAACTAAAAAAAAAAGATTTTTTAATGGAGTTTTAATTCAACAATTACAAAAAATAAGTGTGAAAACTGGATGATGTTTTAATAATTAAAACAAACTAAATACTACATAAGAATAATTAAACCAATCTTTAACAGTGATTGCAAATGTGAACAGTCTGGCTGTCAAATGGTTAATACACTGATTCTCACACTTGGCAAATCTATGGAGACGCTTTCCATGTTGTTATGTATTGTTTGAATGCTTCTTAAAATAACTCAAAGGACAATCATGCAGCTAGCATTAGAATTATATTAAGCTTATGATTATAGCTGAGTTTTACTTTTTCCCAGTGGGTGTTTAAAATTTAACAAAAAGCACCCCCAAAATGCTAAATAACATTGTCTGTTTTTCCTCCCAGTTTATGATTAAAGCTGATGTAAATACTGTAGAACTGTTCCAAAGCAATTTACATAATTGCCTGAGTAAGGAACAAGCCTTTGAAAGAGCTAAATTTCACTAAATACAAGTTTTGTCTTTTGGCATCCAATCTGAGTTGAGAAAATCCAAGCTGACATTGATTCAGCATACAGAATTATAATAATCTAGGAACAGAACAGTGTTTCCCTTGTTAGAGCTGCCATTTAACATATACAATTCTAAAAAGTAGAATAAATTACGGCTTAATCTCTTGTGGGTAGAGTGAAATTTAATTATTTAATTCACTGCAAAGTAGTTTAAAAATTACATGCACAAGGTGATTTTTATGAAAAACTAAAACTTTAATTTCTCATAAAAATCAGTAATTTGTAAGATAATTTCCCAGTCTGGTATCTTAAGTACCACTGCCCTCCCCGACCCCACTATACCATCACAAGTACTTGGCACAAATCTTCTGAAGTATGAGCATATTTTTCCTCTCAGATAAAGGAGACCTTTTTCAGACCACTGGGATCCCTGAAGTGGACTGGCCTATCTAGAATGGGTGACTTGGAAAACAGAACCATTCTTTCCTCTCTCAAAGAGATTATGGGGTATGTATTTTTGACCAATTCACCGTTACTAACTTGGCATGTTCCACTATCTTAATGAATATAGACCATGAACATTTAAAAGGACTGATTAAACATAAATGGGATGATACAGGAAATATAGGAACCACAGGGTTAGAGTGCCTACATTAAAATCCTGATTCTATCATTTTTTTGTGTCATCTTGGACATTTATTTTCTTCACATCTGTTTCTTCATATGCATATTAAATAGACATTAGCATCTACTTCTAGGATTGTTGGGAAGACTGGATGAAATCATCTTTACGAAAGGATTTAAGCACAGCGGCAGGCACACAGTAAATACTTTTTGTTATTAGTTGTTATTAGATAATCTAAAACAGATGAAATCTGCTTTATGTCCCACATTTTAGTCACACAACCATAAATTCAAATATAAAAAATAGCTGTTTTTTTAAAATAAAGTTTAAAAAATATATAGAGAGAGTTTCTGCCAAGAATCAAGATTATGAAGCTGACCTTAAGCATCACCAGGTAATCATCATGACGCTGAATCTGAAGAAGGTTAGCCAAAGCCATTACACCAGCCTTAAAATCAGGATTATTAACTAGAAAAGAGTAAAATGGAAACTTAGAGCTCTGCAAACATACAGACACATATGTAAACATATAAACTTACAAAAAATATTCTGAATTTTCGAGTAACAACAAATCTCAATTTTTAAAACTGCTAACCGGAGCAGTGCAAAGGCATCAACAACTAGGTAAACTAATGAGATCAATAGTTTTCTTATGAAGCAGACAAACTGGACAATCCATTAAATGACTAAATTAACTCACATAACTTTTTCTGCAAGGCCCATTTATGCAGCACTTTTAATTAACATTTCTTCCCAAAGCTATTCATTTTAATACACAGAACCTTCAATGCAGTTTTCCAGAACCTTCTCTAAGCAGCAGCTCTTATGTCTCCAAGCAGCTTATTAATTCCTAAGGATAACTCAAATTATAGGTCACAATGAATCAGTGAAAGAATTACTTAATGTATTGTTACAATCTAAGTAATTAGACTCTTTAAATTTTTAAAAGGAGAATTACTAAAAGACATCTGGGACTTAATGAAAAATTTTACCACTTTCTCATAGCTTCACATTAGATTAGAAAAAATGTTATGTTCCCAGGAAGCAAACAATCATCACTATGATTAAATACAAATCAAAACCTTCACACCACTAAGGGAAGCTCAAAGAACAGCATTCTAACATTCAGATAGATATTCAACTACAAGAGGAGAAAGCACATTGTAACTGACAATAAAAAACCATCAAAGAGAATAAAATATCCTCGCAAATGCTGCCTGCACGAAGTATTCTTAATTTACTAAAAGCAAGTAAACCCAGACTTTATTCTAGGGAGTAAAAAACATTTAAGGAACCAAAAATGGTGATCATTTTTATGCATTTACATAATCATCTCCTCTTATCCAAAGCAGATCCATTCCAAGACCCCCAGTGGATGCCTAAAACCGGGATAGTACCAAATCCTATATATACCATGATTTTTTCCTATACATTCATATTTTTTCACTTAAAAGAAGCACTATATAGCTTCTCTTTGGCATATCCAAATTGTCAGTATCACGACTCTTATGCTTTGAGGCCACTAAAATAAGGGTTACCTGAACACAAGACTGGGATACCATGACAGTCGATCTGATAACCCAGCCAGCTACTAAGTAATTAGAGTGTAGATATGCTGAACAAAAGGCTTGATTCACAGACCAGGCAGGATGGTGCAAGACTTCATCCTGCTACTGAGAAAAGGTGTTCAATTTAAAGTGAATTGTTTATTGCCGAAATTTTCCATATAACACTTTCAGAAAGCAGTTGACCACAGGTAACTGAAAGCATGGAAAGTGAAACTGCAGATAAGGGGGTCTACTGTACTTACCATCCAAATTGATCAATGGCTCTGCATTTTTAGCTGCATTGTCAGCATTTTTTGTATTATCAGATACTGAGTCCTTGTATTTTTCAGCTGTAAAAATAGGCAAAAATGCAATTTGTAAAACTGCAACTTAAGGTAAAACAAACAGCGCTTATTTACTGACTCTGAACCAAAATGGTTATTAGACAACTCATCCAAAATAACAAAAAAAATTATTTTTGTTATTAAAAAAACCTAACAGAAGACAATGTGATTATAGCTTTCCGATTAAGCTAAAATGATTACTGAATGCCTTACACAAATATTTCATTAACACCTTTAAAAGTAATACATTTCAAACATTATCTAAATGTTAGCAGAGAAAGTCACTTTTACAGCTTCCTCTGAAACTTGGTAGGGGTAAGGGTAAATGTAAGTTACATGAGATTAAATGCAAACTCACTAAAAAGTAAGTTTCTTCCCAAATCTTTTGAATGCTGTACACAGAACCCAAAAACTTTGCTTTCTAAAAAATCAGCACTTCAAATAATACACCATCATATACAAATCTAAACCTATTTCACTGAGACTTGAAAGCCAGAATTGCAGAGGTAGAGTTTGCAACTTTTACTTGAAAAATATTTAATAATACACTAAACTTAATGTCCAAAATGCCATCTTTGGCTATAATGCTTATGTGACTTGTTAATGAAACAAGAGAGAAAACAAAAGTATTAAAATTTAAGTGACAGAAGTTAGCTTAAAGGAGCTCCCACTGGCCAAATCTGGAACAGTGTAAACATCAAAATACACCATAACAAAAAAGATTATGGCCCATTGAGTAAAATAAGAATCCACATATCCACACTGATTTAAATAAACAACTCAGAAAGACAGGAAAGTTCCTCTTTAAGGTAGAAAGCCAAGAAATAAATGTAGAAAGAATGATCGAATTAGAAAAACATCATTTGGCAATCATCATCAACATAAAACTCTGATGAGATTCATCAAATGGAGGCTAAGCTAGGGGGGGATGTTTCAGGAGCAAAAGCATACTGACATCACCTCAAAGTATCTCCCAACAACAGACGCCATTTATCACAAGGGGGAAATAGTAACTTCAGAATGGAGAAACCTTAACCAAGTGATCAGAGTAAATAGGACCAGTAATGGGACATACCACTAACACATGCCTCCTGATATGCATTTAAAGAACACAACATCACTTCTGTGTTACTCTTAACATGTCTGATCATGAGGAAACATCAGACAGGACAAACCCAAACTGAGGAACATTCTATAAATATATGTCAGTGTCATGAAGCACAAAGAAAGATGGAGGAACTTTTCCAGATTATAGGTCAAAGAGACCTAACAACTGAGTGCAACACACGATCAAGGATTGCATTTTTGTTTTGGTATAAAGAATATTGAGACAATTGGTAAAATTTGAGTAACAGCTATAGAGAAGAGTACTGAATCAAAGTTAATTTCCTGAATTTGATAACTGTCCTGTAGTTATGTACATTTAGGAAATGTGCATTAAAATATTTAAGGGTAAAAGAGAATCACCTACAACTTAGTATCAAATGATTTAGAAAAAATTATGTATGTATATTATACCTAGAAAGAAGAACCAGGCAAATAAATTAAATGTTAATATTTGCAGAATATGAGTATGAGAAAATTATTTGTACTATTGCAATTTTTCTGTAAATCTTAAATTATGTCAAAAGTTAAAAGAAAAAATTTAAGCCAGGTTTTAATCACTTTAATTGATACGCTAGCAAAATGCTTTAAAAATATTATAGCACAATGAAAATTCACAATGGTTTCATCAAATAAGAATAAAAATTTTAAATAATTTACAAGTCAAGAAGAATGGAATGAGTTAATGTTAAACCAGAAAAGAACAACAGTGCCTTCTACTGATAAGGGACAGTACTACTACTTGAGCCCTTTCTGTTCTTTCAATTCTGATTTTTAAGGTTACACAAAAATTTGTTTTCTAGACTTCTAATAGACTTTTGATATTACCTTTCAACTATAATTCAGCTAAAATTTCAAATAAAATTCAACTATAAATTTCAATATAAAAAAATTTATTTCAGACACAACCTCATTCTATTTTATTAATTAAAAAATACCATGCTATATTACTGAGAAATAACTGTAAGAGTTATAGTCAACTGTAGGGATACACAATCATATGGTACCTATAGTTTTTGGTACCTAAAGAGTCTAAGTTGAAGTATTATAAAAATGGGACAAATGGAATAAATAAAACAGAAATAAATTGAGATATGACTACAGTTCATTTGGGAATAGCTGAAAAACACTTTCAAAAAGCTGGAGAATACTATGTTGCAAATTAACTAACATAGAGTTTACCAATTCAAACCAGAACAAAGACTTTCCTAAAGGTCGTAAAAATCAACTAACGCCACTGAGGCTTATGATTACATTTATTTCTAAGTATTTTCTTTTTAAACTAAAATTCAAACTGAAAAAAAAAAAAAGCCTGGAGCTTTTCTTAACATTTCTGCCATAGGTTTCTGAGATTTAAGTCTAAATCTGGTCTATGCTCCATATTAGAATATGCGAACATTCATATACTGCATTTGCCAAACATTTATTAAAACTCATCCACTATATGCAAGAAACTATGTCAGGTACTGTGCAGACAGAATCATGACTCCCCTCCAAAGATGCCCATATTCCCAACCCCTGTAAACTATAAATGTTACCTTAGATGGCAAAAGGGACCTTGCAAATGTAATTAAATTAAGGATTATCCAGGTGGGCCCAATGTAATCATAGTACCTTTATAGGAGGGAGGCAGGATGACTAGAGCTGTGACAATGGAATTAAGAGTCACAGAAAGACTGAAGATGCTATGCTATTAGATTTGAAGATAGTAGGGCAAAGTCAAGGAATGCAGGCAACCTCCAGAAGGTAGAAAAGACAAAGAAATGGATCTTCCCCTAGAACTTGTCAAAACCTGACTTTTAAGTCCAGTAAGACATGCTGAACTTTTGACCTCCAAGACTAAAATAATAAATTGTGTTTTAAGTCACCGAGTTTGTGGTAATTTGTTACAATAGCAACAGGAAACTAACAGAGGTACAGTACCATGTAGGAAACAAAACTGAGTATAAACTTACAATTTAGTGGGGCAAATAAGACATAGGAAAATGGAAAGTGAATGACTTAAAAGGTATAGAGTTAAAAGCTATGAAAATTCAGAAGGAAATGCTAATTGGCAATTGTGCTGGATCTTACAAGAATGAGCAGGATTTAGATGTGTAGAGAATAGAGTGAAATGGCATATTAGGCAAATGAAAATGTAAGCCAAGAAATTGAGGGGGGAAAAAGAGATGTAAACAGGACCAGCATTATTCTAGTTTGGCTAGGATATCAAGTATGTGAATACTGGCTGGACACCCGTTATCAAAGGCCTTGAATACCAGGCGAAGGGGCCCGGGGTCCTTTTGTAGAACATGGAAAAGAATGATGCTTCTGAGTATAATAGGAGGTGTTTTTTGGAAACCAAGCATAGCATTCTAAACCAGATTTATGTTTCAAAAAGTTAGCCTGATGGGCCATGCAGATGAGAATAGAGGGTAATGCTAAGAGACCAGTATGAAAGATACAATATTCTCAGTAGAAAGTGTTAAGGGACTGAATTAGGGCGATAGTAGTGGGAAGAGAAAAAAAGATACAACAGACATGGGAAAAGATAGATAGGGACAGGATGGGAAGAAAAGGGAATCAAAGATATCAAAAAATGCTTAAAAAGCAAATTAAGAGAACTGGAAGTGACAGCTCCATAAGAGAGAACAACACAGAACAAAGGGGATGGAGGTAAGATAAGATAATCGGACCTTGCATTTAGATGTTGGCAGGCCTTTCAAAATGAAACAGTCTAATGAGAGGAAACACTAGTTTATTGCAAAGCTTTTTTATACTATAGACATTAATATTCAAAAGCTTCCAATAATGTAAGTATCTGTAATAAAATGACATTACACATAAATAATATATTTTAGCCTACAGTGTATATTGGGATTAGACATATATTTCAGTCTCTTGTGAAATTATCTGCGGCAATCAACATTCTGAAATCTATCAATTCTGGGATACTAACAACAATTTAACTGAAAGGTTAAGGTGCAGGCTGTGAGAGATGGCAAATTTACCAAAGTAACACAATTTTTTGAGAAGACATTCAATTAGCTTTCTCCAGAAGACAGCATTTCTAAATTCTAAAAAGCCCCCAAATCTAAGAAGTACTAATGAAAGACAGTGCTTTTAACTTCTTATAATAAAGGGACTCTAGTTTTAAAAAAGAAAACTCTTTCCCAGACAATTTGGGAGTTGGGGGTGGGGTTGTGAGTACTAGACACAGAAGAATGGTTAAGAAAAAAGTAAGTTTTTAAATAGATGCTGAAATGGAATGTGAGGATATATAAAACTTAAAATGAACCAAAAGTAAAATAAGACAAAGAAACACGAATTGGTGTTCCCTACATTTTTACATTCCTTTCCCACCTCTCTGCTCCTCTCTTTAAAACACACATTCCCCACAAAACATACCATTATCTCCATATTCAAGTCTAACAGCTAAACCAAGAAGCCAGTCAATTGCTTCTTGCCGATCTTGAATCTTGAAAGGACAGCTGACATCTGTGAGATACTGTGAGAGAAAAAAATTCACTTATATTATTACTGTAAAGTCATAGAATCAAAAATGGTAAAGGTGAAAGATACTTTAGTTTGGACCTCAAAGAACTTCTTATAACATTTCCATCATGCTTTCTGAAATTTTTCTTTTGCAGATTCCAGGTAGGGCACCACTGATCTAGAACTTCCTCATTTTATAGAAAAGAAAACTGAGGCCTAGAGAGGTTAACACTTGCAAAAGTTACACAACTTAGATCTGGGACCTGAATGTAAACTTACTGATTCCAGGTCTCAGTACACATAGAGCAATTACGTAAAAAGGACTCTTAAAGGGAGAATATAAAAATAAAGCAATTATTATCTTAACTGTTAGATAGGCCAGGTACAGAAACCCAGGTATAGAAACTCACCAGGGCAGGAAGCCCCAGATGCCTAGCAAGGGGCAAAACTGGGAAAACAAGAACTTTGTCCCCAGGGTAATCTAGCCTCCTCTAGCATATCACTGGTCTTGCGGTTTAGATCCCCTGAGCATTCCTTCCTAAAGATAACATCTAGGCCTCCTGATTTTCAGCTCCTAGGCCCAGATAAGCAAGGATACCAGACAAGTGGCTGAGTAAGGACCATATACATTGACTAATGACCCCCTGCCCTGGCACCAACCAATCAGTGGAGACCAAGACCCTGAAAGAGCACACCTGGAAAGCTGATCAATATTCTATTGAGATACTCCCCTGAGACCTCCCCTAATATTCCCCACCTGCAAGAACGAGATAAATATACTCAGGATAAAGGAAGCCAGCTGGAGCCAGCTCCATCTCCATCCTTCCCATAAGACTTACAACCACGGGACCAATGGGCAGTAGCAGCTCAACCCGGGCTTACCCCCTAAACCTGTCTCAAGGTTCTCTCTCTCTGACTCCTCAGTGAGCCGAAGCAGCCCAGCCTAGGCTCTCCTGCTGCTGCTTCTATGCTCTTCCTTGCTTCACTGTCCCAAGTATACTTTTGCTGCAATCATGGATCCAATACCCTTTGGCTCAGTGCTATGTAGCCCTTCCCTCTGGATATCCCCATTCCCATTTAATAAATTCAATTTTTCTTAATTCACCGTCTGAGATGGCTATTTAGCCTACCTGAGCACCGACCATTAACCTTAGCTTTCATATTATGGAAATACCACTGAAGAGAGTAAGTCATGCAACATACATGTACAATGTAAGCAAACATTTTAAATGAACGTTCAGAAGCTATATACTGAAATTAGTATTATCCTTCAAATGAGTCCTTAGGAACTTAAAAGCTATTTCCAGCAACAATGCTATTACTTAGAACTTCTGGAAGTCCCTTTTGGAAACCCTTTTGGGGATAATTAATCAGCACTTTTAAGCCGTAACTCATTTTCTAACCCAAAATTTTATCCCCTGGCTTTTAAAAAATACAACACCTCATTCACAAGATTTGTTCATGATCTATAAAGTAAATCCACCTTCAAAATTAAAAACTTGCCATTAAGGATATTCAAAAGATGTCTTATGATGTAAAAGTAATTCCGAAAGAAGTTTCAAATATGCTTTAAGCAATGACATCATCATTCCGAAGAGACCAACGTGAAGAATAGTATCTGTTTGGATGTACAAGTTCCAAGACATCTACCTTTAAGTTATCCTGCTTTGTTACTTTTGGATGTTTTTTTTTAATCCTCACCTGAGGATTTTTTTTTAAATTTTAGAGGGGGGGGAGAGGGTGGAAGAGGGGGAGAGAGGGAGAAACATCGATTGGTTGCCTCCTGCATGTATCTTGAAGGGGATTGAACCTGCAACCTAGGTATATGCCCTGATTGGGAACCAAACCCACCACCTTTTTGGTGTATGGGAAAACACCCCTACCAACTGAGCCACCTGGCCAGGGCTTGGGTGTTCTTCATTTGGAATTTATACAGTAGTCCCCCATTACCTGCAGGGAGTATGTTCCAAGACCTTCAGTGGATGCACTAGTATTTTAACTTTTCAAAGAACTTGGGCCAGTCACTGCTGTGGATGTTTCTTAAATTACCTCTGTCTTCAATCTTGTAGTGTCTGATTTTCTGGTCTTCAAGCCAAACAATAAAGTTTCTAAATTCTGTTTCATCTGCAACAAAAATACCATATAAATTACCAGAAGCACTTCCTTCACCACAAATAAATGGTCTTGTGGCATTTTTAACTCCATTTTTGCTCAATTAAGCTGCTCAAAGCAGGAGTTGAAAGTGCAGATTTTGGATCAACAAATTTAAAATGTTCTGCTCATATCCTGGCCAGAATTTGAATTTAGTGGTTGTGTAAACTTAGGCTAATCACCTAAATTTTCTGTGCCTCAGATTCTTGAGTTACAAAATGGGGCTAATAAAAGGGCTTACCTTATAGGGTTGTTATGAAAATTAAATGAAATAAGATTAAAAACAGTGTTTGGCAGATAGTTTTGGCTACTTAAGTGTTATCATCCCAGTTCCTTTGGGGAGTGGGATGGGGCAAGGTTAAATTTATAGCAAAGTAATAATAGAGTACAAAAATTATATAACAAAACAGAAAGAAGATACTATTGTCACTGTTACAGTACATTAAATGCCCGCATGGGAAAGTACATGTTGTTTCCTTTAATCCTTCCACACGCTTCTGAGGTAGGTAATATCCCTTTTTCACAGATGAGAAAAACTGAGGCTCAAAGATTCAAATCCTGGTCTAAGCTCTATTGCCACTAACCCTTTTTTGTCAAATAAAAGGCAAAGTAGAAAAACCAAGATTCTATAAATGGATATGCTTCTAAGGAGATCAACAGAACACTGTTAGAACAGAATCCTGCTTAGAAATTAACTTCTCTTTCAAGTGCAAGCTTCCATTATGGAGTCTCGAGAATTATAAATGGTCTGAGTATCCCACGCTGCACCTGGATCACTTTCAAACTTACTAGTCCATACCCCAGGCTAAGAACTCTGGAAGGAAATACGCAGTGGTCGATAGTAGTTAAGTAATAGAGGGTACCAATGTCAGTGCTTCAAAAATTTTTAAAGCTGTTAAAATCCCAAACACCTTTGTATTTACAATTCAACCACCCGGTTTATCTGCTATCAACATTTTTGCACGGCCCACACAAGGTGATTAGCCCGTTACTATACCGCTTACTCCGGTGCCGGGCTTCCTTATGTACTGTCCTGATTTCAAACTGCTGGGTGGGATTCGAGTGCCTCCCACACCCACCCTCACCCATCAGTTCCTGGCGGGCAGTAAACGAGCTTTCGAATCACTCTGCATCTTCCTCAGTTTCCAGTTCCGCGCTAGCCCACCCCAGGCGCTCAAGGTATCGCCCAACTACCCGGTAAGCCACGGACTGGAAGGGATAAGTTAGAAAGCGCACACTGTCTCTCTCGGGTGCTGGGGGCCGGGAGTGGGGGACACTGGGAGTTGAGCAAGTGCAGAAAGTGACGCGGCCGAGGCGGGAGTGGGTGAGGGGCTCGGAAGCCCGGGCGTGGCCGGAGCGCGGGGGGATGGCCGGCCGAGAGCAGAGGTGCTTGGAGGCCGGGTGGAGAGCGCGGCCCCGGGGCCCTGGCGGAGACAAGGCCGCGGAGGGTCCGGGTGGGGAGCCCGGGTTGGGGCGCTGACAGCGCGGCCAGCAGCGGGGTCC